ATATACTAGCAAGTTCGGCAGCACCACCCCAGATAAAACACAGGGCCATGGAGAGTCTCCATCAGCATGGATTATAAAACACTAGTCAGATGCCTTGCTCTTGATTGCATTGCTGCCATATTCCACTAGGACTTTTTCAGCACCCCTAAGGCAAGAGAATCAAGGTTGGAACATTACATAGGAAGCACATTAAGCCCAGAGAAGTGTCATGGCTTTTTTAAGACAGGGCCTCCTGAAAAAGTCACAACAAAGGAGAGGAAATGGAGAGGTTAGGCTGGCTCTTACCTCTGCTTCCCCAAGACTAAGTAGGTCACAACCCAGAGCTAAAATGGGACTTCCAGAGCCAACCCAGCCATGCGCTTTTGGCAACTGGATTTGAGGAAAAAGAAGATGCCAGTACTGAGGTGACTCTTCCGTACTTCTCTGGACCCTCAGGACTACATTCTTAAACCTTTTTTGCTAGAAAAAGTCCATTCTACATACAGTTAAGTTCATTTCTGGTGTGAAGACGTTGCTTGCCCCTCATCTAATCAGAAATTGGATTTTAGCCATATATAATCTGTATAACACCATATCAACACCTTGAATAGCTCCAGGCTCTATATAAGCACCCAAATCAGTATCTTTCACTTTCTAATTCCCCAAAACTCTGTTTGTTAAAGCCCTGGCTGGGCTCAAGTCAGAAAGGCCCTAGACCAGAAGACACAAGCCCAAGAGCCAATTGGGGAGCAAGTACCTATTTTGGAGATAGACCTTTTAAGTGAGGCAAAAAAAGTAATCTCCCTCCACCACCACCCCATTTCCTTCCAGCCTCCATCTGATGCTAACCCTGGTAATAAGAGAAGAGAAAAGGGAAAAAAAAAAAAATCCAGTTCGTTGAGGAAACGTTTTTTAATCTTCTCCCTAGCTAAAGGATGTAGCCATGACTCCCAAGTCCTTTCCAATTGAAAGGAAAAATAAAAGCACATCTAGTCCCACCACTGTACTTACTTATTTTTAGGAGGTACCAACATGAGGCTGGAAATCTTTGGGAAGGTCATTAGGGCCTCCATCAAAGAAGTGAGTAAGATGGCTGGCCAATAGCTTTCCTGAATATAAACAATAACAAGACAGAAAATACAATGAAAGGAAGCTAAGGGTCATAACTGGTCTACCATAATCAGACTTCTAGGATGTAAGAGCCAAATAGAGCCATCAGGGACCATGTTAGTCTAAGCAGCCCCCCCCCCAACTCCACCCTCAATTTGGCACAGAGAGAAATTCAGCCCCCAGGAGGGGCAGTGACCTGAAAGGTCCTGTGTTACCATACCAACCCCCATCTCTTCCTCTCTGGGATTCCTTGTATTACTCACCTGACATCCTTTAGAAAACCTTAAACTTACGTGATTTAGGTGCTTTTTAAAGACTTATATCCTAACCCTCTGATGGAATTAAGTCTCTTGATTTTACAGATGAGTATAAGGAAACTTGGAATTTCACTAACTTGCCAAAGGTCACACAGCAGTGGCACTTGACAGTTTCAGCTTGTCTCCTTTGCCTTAATCACTGCCAGCCTGATAGATGTAGGAGCCATCCATTAGCACAGTACTCAAATTCACTTTTTGTTCCTCATGGGAATCCACATCAGTTGCTACCGTAAGACTATTTAGGTAGTGGCCCTCTGAGGACTCATTTGCTTTTTGCCTACAAGTATCAGGACCCCAAAGGCCATTAAGCTGGTAAGTGGGAAGTCAACATCCATGTTTGAAGTCTGAGGATCCTGTACCATCTGGATTATTTTCCAAAGCAAAGGAACTGCTATCCAGTATCACGTTGGAAGAGGCTCCGGATGGGTAAATCTCGCCCCAGAATAAAGTCACTGGTTGGGTTTTTTGAGGGGGTATTTTTCTCTCTCAGAATTGTCAATAGTCAAGTAAACAAATTTATTAAATCCAACAGCAGGTAACCTTCCAAATAAAAAAAAAACATCAAAAGAAAAATGTAGACAAAGACAGAAGTGTGTGTAACAAGTTAATAAAAATATTCAAGGGGCCATTTGGAGAGTGCAACAGTGCAGAGAATACAAACAAAAGTATTGACCTTTGTCAACAAGTTTGTACATCCTCAAGAAACAGACACACTGGTCACAAACCAAGAGGAATCCACAAAGGTGGAGGGTTACATGAGTAGCAGACTCATCACCTCAGTGCATTAAGGCAGGGTATCTGTAGGACCAATTCATCCAAGTCCCCATTTGCCTATTGTTTCAAGTCCACCCCCCTTGGAAACCTAGAATCATATTCATTAGTGCAACAGGTAAGAACAATTAATTACAGACTCAGGGCTGGGGACCAGAGTCAGAGGGAAGACACTTATCCAGGAATAAAAGGGGGTGGGGGTGGGGAGAGACACAGCATCTGCTGAATGGCTTCCTTTGGCAATATCCAAGAGTATGTCATAGTAAATAGTAAAAAGGGAAGGCAGGTGGTGGAAGAAGGTATCTATGAAAGCAGGCTTAGTTTCCAAGAGGAGTAGGGAGGATGTGAGGCCCCAGCACCTGAATCAGAAGCAGAACTTGATGGTTACTCAAAGCTATTTGAATCATCTTGGCTTCTGCAACCACTGCTCAAGCAGAACTCTCAATAAGGAAAAACACCTCCAGATCCACATTAAAACCCAGCCCCCAGTCCAGGTTAAACTGGATGTATGCTATAATTACAGCTAACCATAGAAATAATAAACTCTTTTGAAAGGGGGTAGGTGGGAACCCACTCTAGGATTCAGCAACAGATTATGGAGGAGGAGGATCAATAACATAGGTCCTCAAAAGAGACCCAATTAACACATGTTAATAACTTTAATAGTCCTTTCAGCTGCTTATACAAGTTACTGCTAGAGTCCCAGCAAAGGAAGACCTTTGTCAGTTACCAGTATTTTTCAAGTCCCTCCAAGGGAAGACCTTTGTCAGTTACCAAGATGTTCAAGTATCACTAAGCAAACATTAAGAGACACAAGAAAAACAGCAAAGCAGGCAGCTAAAACAAACCTAGCAGCAGCTTCTCTCCAGCCTTTGTAATGGTATAGCTGGGTCTACTCCTGGGCTTCCCTACACTCAAGACTTCTCTTGAAATGTGGCAAACCAGTCCTAAATATAGATGTTTTGATTTTTACACTTTTAGACCCAAGTCCTTATCCCAGTAACTTCCCACCGTTGTTTAATGCAGTTTGGCATAGTATAGCATTTGAGGCCATCACATGAACTATGGAGTTCCACACCCTGCAGGTTCCAGCACTGAGGACTGAATTTTGGCATGAGTCTCTGGGAGATCAGAACTGTATCAATGATGAACTAATAAATACTCTGTGGCTTAATCCCTTCTTCCTTTCCAAGAAGGCTAGTTCGTGCCTTCCTTAGGGAAGTTTAATATTGAAAACACTGACTTGTACATTACATTTCCAGTTGGATTTCTTTGGGCCTCTGGGCTTGGGTTAAATTTGGATCTTTACCCAGCTCTAATTTTTCTTATCAGAAGACTAGATAGGGGGTCTTGGACCCAACTGGCACAGATAAGGGAAACTACTGAGGCATCCAGCTAAAGCATAGCAAAGTGTCATTACAGGGGTCAGGTTAATGATACATTCAAATATGGCAGGAATGGGGGAAAAGCATTTCAATGAAGCAACACTTCATCTCATATAGCTTTCTAATCCCGAAAACACCACAAACTCAAAGCCATTTGCCAAAAACCAAGGATTTCCCAATCCATATTCAATTTCTTGTAGTCACCTTCAGGTAATTTGCTATTTTCAAAATGGTGTCCACATCCTGCCCCTCTTCACACAACCCTGATGTTACACTGTTAAAGTGAAGAGCGTGCTGGCTTACCTGAGGGGCATGCATCTGGCATCTTCCGCACAATTACGGCTCACTCATTAAACAGCAAACCTATTTCTAGGTTAAAAGGAATAGGGACCTTTCATTTCTCGACAGTGTGACTACAAAACCCTACACAAACCCCACCTTCAATCCCTTTGCAAAAAAACTGCTTTTCTTGTGGTCAAGTCAGACATTGGCCCACAGCCACTACAGAAGCTTGGAAATCCTTGCATCAGGAATGCCAACCTGGATAAAACCTGTAAGTCCTTCCCTAACTGCTCCCTCTTCCGGTTTCTCAACTGCATTTCTGTAACAAACAGATCATTAAAATATAACCAAAAACAATTTAATGGCTCTTTTTGTGGGGGATGGGGAGGCTGAACAGTTAACAAAATCCACCCACTCTAGCACACCTAATGCATGGAATGCCACCTTGTAGGCCGGGGAAGGAATCCAGTTCCTCCAGAGTCCTCAGGACCCTCGGTGCCAAGCCCTTTTGTGCACTTCTCTCCATATAACCTTGTAATCTAAGAAGAGAGCCTTAACCTGGCTAGATGCAGCCTGCCTTTTCCCTTTTTCAACCTCTACTCAGTCTACAATCAAGAAAAACTGGGGGTTGCAGGACTGGCTAGATGAGAAGGCAGTAGTATCTTTAAGACTTCAGTCTGGGCACCCTGACTACAGTTGAGCCCACAGAACCTGCTGGGGCTCCTAGAAACTCTATTTATATAAGGAATTTGTGTCAGGCTAGAATAAAGCCAGATATCTGGACTGAGACCCTCTTCAGCTTTCCAGCAGTACTGCTAACTTGCTGTGGCTGATTTTAAAAGTTTCCCTTCTGCCCCTCTAGAAGGGGCAACTGCCAGGTTTAGGATCTTCAAAAAAAAAAAAAAAAAAAAAAAAGAAATCAAACTCCAACCATTTCCTATGCCAATGTCAATCTTGGAAAAACATCGACTGCAGAAACTCCCTAAGTAATCGTCTTTGGAAAGATGGGAGCCTAGAGTCATAAGGTTCCTAATAAAGGAATTCAAAATAAGCAATTCCTGCCCAGGCTGAGAAACATATACCTGGGAGGCAGATGGAAGCAGTTAGGGAAGAAAACTCGAAATGTTTAATAGACAAACTCTCATTACCTCAAGAGTATAAATATTTTATAAGTTTTTATTTAAAAGATTCCCTTTTCAATCTGTTCCCAAGTGTTGGGAGCTGAACTGTACAAGTTCCTGCCACCCACCCTTCCAGTACAGTTTTTTGAGGACATGTTTTTTTAATGGAAAAATAACAAGAGGACCCTTTACTGAAACCAGGTAGGACCAGAGTCAGCTCCTGTGTGGCAGTTTGGCCAAAGCTGGCCTTATGGAGCAAGCACATGGAGGAGTCTGGGCAACTGGGCCTCCCTCTTATGAGGAAAAGGCTGAGAAAATTCATCCTCTCTTTAGTGAGGATGGTCCAAATTCAGATTCAAAAACCTCCATTTAGGACGCTCCCTGGCACTCTTCTTATGCTTTATATATTGAAGGCAGCTCCCTCTTTTATGGCCAGTTTTAGCAGGCAAAGAAACAAAGGAATATAGATACATATATGTGTATATATATATTTTATATAGGTAAAATATATACATATCTTATATATGTATATATACATATTTGGGGGTAGGGGAAGGAGAGAAGGGTCATGTAAACCTAAACAGTCATCACATTACCCCAAATGAGCCTGACATTAACAAAGAAGATAATAAATAACTCCTGGGGGTTAAGTGACAACATGGGTGCAGCAAGAAGGGAAAGGGCACACGTTTAACTATTAAATACACTTCTATATTTGTTTGGCAGAGTTCAGGCCAGCCCCAGGCATCTGCACTTGCCAGACAAGTAAGCTGATGATACTCAAAAAAACTTTAAAAAAAAATAAATTAAAAATATTCAAGCAGAGCTCCATACCACAGTTTTCCTTCAAGTCAGTTGGCCGGCAGGCACAGTTTTCCGACCACCAGGAACAGAAACTTTGGCTCCAAGGCAAATGAAAAAAAAAAAAAAAAAAAAAAAAAAAAAATGTATTTTCACTTACAACATGAAAATACAGAAAATTCATCGAAAAAAGAAAACTATCAAAGTCTACTTCCAGCAAAACTGAGGTAGCACTGCTTTCTCTGCATTCAATGCTTAAGTGGTTCTCAGTACTATGTTGTGTTCTTAAAAAAAAAAAAAAAAAAAAAAAAAAAAACTGCTCACTTGACTGACAGGTGCAGCATGTTGATGGATAAACTCAACATGAAATGCAATAGGTCAAAGAAGGAATGAGCAAGAAGTGAAGAAAATAAGGGTTTCGGATAAATTAGCTTAAAAAGGGGGTTGTCACCAGACTACAAATGCTCTTGGCTGGCCTTGGCTCTCCAAGAGCTTTAAATCGCCTGGGAATTAATGCAGTATGGTTAACAGTTAACACTGCTATTCAATTCTGTGTAAATCTTTTAAAATAATTCTTACAACCTAAATTCAACCATGTAAACAGCACTACACACAGTACAGACCTGCCCTGAAAAACAGAATATGCAAAACTGAGATCTGGCACTGTATCATCTTGTAATGTTAATTCAACCTAACGGTCCCATTCCCCCCTCCCTGCTCTATTCCCTCCCCCACAAAGAAATCTAATTTGTGCAAGAAATGGCAGGCTTATTCTATCTGAAGGCTTCAAAAAAAAAAAAAAAATACACAACATGTAGCCAGGTTCAAATATTTTGGGGAACCCCCCTAAAAGAAATAACCAAAATAACCAAAAAGTGAAGAAAGTGCCTAAAACATGATACAGCATTTTAGAGCCCTTTCAGATACAAGGCAGAGAAAGGTGTAAAGTAGAAAATATCTGGATCTTCAGTAATTTCCAGAAAGGTCCAATTCCTCGGTTGGCTGCAGGGCAGCAGGCAGATCCTTGCTGCTGCTGCTGCTCCTGGGACAGAGCCACTAAGTCTGCTCCCCGGGACACAAGCCCTCGGGCCCTGAGCTGAGTGCACCTCTCCCTTCCCCTTCTCTTTTCCTTCGCTCCATTTCCCACTCCACAAAGGTATCGAAGAGACTTGGCCAGGCCTCGTCTTCACTGTAGTTGCTGAGGTCAGGACCAATCACCTGAGTGAAGTTAAGGAACATGTTCCAGGTGTCCCGGGAGATGCCCTTGATCCCCGAGGGATTCTCAGTTAGGAAGTTTAGCCACTGGTCCAATACTGGAGGATTGTTCTGGGTAAAGACTAGTTTCCACAGGGCAATGGCTATTTCCCGATGCAGTGACCGCTGCCCTTCTTCAGAGTCCAGACCAAACTGAAATGTAAACCGGTAGAGATCCTTAAATTTATCCTCTTGTTTGGCTTCCGTTAAGAGGCTAGGGAACCGTGCACAGATCCCATCAATGCTGTCTGCACTTATTGCTTTGCAGCCATCAAAAAACTCCTTCCTGCAACAGGAAGGAGGGGGCACAATTAATATTTATAAACAATATCATCTGCTGAGAAGCAATATAGCAAAGTAAGAGCATGGCTTTGAGGCTGGACGACCTGGCTTTGAATTCCAACTCCTCCACTAATGAGTCCTATTTCTTCATCTGTCCAACGGTGAGAATACCACCTTACTTCATAGGGTTTTGGTGAGGACTAAAAATAGGTGTCAACTGCTTCCAACAGTGTCTGGCACATGGTAAGCAGCGAAGGCATTTGGTTCATTCACTTCTTCAGCCTTTCAAAGCGAAACTCCAGTCCGCTGCCCGATGCCCCATCTCCCACTCTGCAGCAGTGATTAAGCTGCAGACTCCCCTCCTAGACGGGGAGTCTTCCTGCTTCCCTTTTGATTCTCTATGGTTGTTTGTTTTTGGAATATTTTTGGTGATTGCCAAGAGAGATCTCTGGAGCTAAAGATTCTGGATAAACCTGCCTAACTCTGCTCCAGAGATCAAAGTTCTGTTATTAAAAAACGAAAACTGCAGATGTATTTTTAACATCTACATAACACGTTCAGGTTACAACCTGGTCTCTCACTGATGATCACCTCAGAGACTACTGTTTCAGCTGAAAACAGAAGGCATCCGAAGTCTGCCGGGCAACCTACCTTGGGGGGCGGGGCTCAAAGTCAATTCTTATTTATAACCCAGTGCTCTGCAAATCATACGTTGGGGTGACCTTGCCACTCCCCCCCCCCACAAACCACTTCTACAGGGACACGTGACCACAGCGATGTGCACAACGACTGTGCTCATCGAGGCCAAATGTCCTTGCTGACACAGACACCGGCCGAGGGCCATGCGTGCAGAGCCAGAAGGGGCAAGGGGCTCGGTGCACTGATGGGAAGCGGCTCCCCAAAGGTGCTCCCCAGCCCGGCATTCACAGTGCCTGGCACACAAGGGGCGTACAATAAATATCCAGTGGGTGAGGGAGTGAGAGAATGAACAAGCAAAAGGGTGGAAGAAAGATTAAAGGTCCCAAAAGGGCAGTGCGGCTGGGCAGCAGCGTGTGGCCCCAGGGCATCACATGGGTTACTCCTTAACCTCAGGCAAAGATGGTCCTTGCCTGTTCTTCTGGGGCTGCACCAGCTTTAGAGAAACGGGTCAAAAAAAGAACGACTTACCCCAAAGCCTAAGAAGCCAACCCAGTTCTCCCCCAGCTGGGCCCCACTGCCCAAAAGTGCACTTGTCCTCCTCGGCTCACCTGGTGACATGAAGTTTTTGTGACTAACCTGGTGAATTTGCACATGGTAGCGGCCTGGAACTTCCAAGCCAAGAGCAGCACTCGAAATTCCGTGGGGTCAACACATAAGTCATTGCAAAAGCGCTCCATGCCTTCCTCCAAAATTGCATCCTCCCGCTCGTCCTTATAGCGCCTGAACAATTCTTCCAGCCTCTGCAGGGAAGACTCCTCGGCATTGGACTTGGGCTCCCTCCCAGCATCTCCAGAGGACATTGGCAACTGGCAGGGCTCGGTGGCAGCCTCTGCCTTCTTGGTCCCATTGACAAGGATATCCCCACCTGGCTTGCCACAGGCTGGTGGCTGTTCCTCGCGGTGGCCTGCGCTCCGCCTGCTGTGTGACTTGCTGCCAGGGTCACGGTCTCCGTTCTTGCTGCCCAGGGTTGATGAGGGATTCTTGCACTTGGTGACACACTGGCCCATGGTGCTGATGGCCTGGCCCCTAGAGTGGCCCCCTCTGGATCAGATGCCCTCGCTGCCACTGGCCCATGTGTCTCAACATGCCATCAGCCAGAGGAGCCAGCCAACCTAGAAAAAAATGACAAAGCAGTTACCACTGGACAGGGAGACGGGCATTCGCAAACTCCATTCACTTCCCCTGCGGGGACTGCAGCCTGAGGCACCATTCTATTTCCGTGAGCCAACCCTGAACCAGGGGAGATACCCGGAGTTCATCGCCATCCCCCCATCCCCCTGTAAGCTCCATACCTTCACATTGGAAATGCAGGGCTAGGACACATATGGAGAACCAATAAGAAAATTCCTAAAATTCTTAAGGTAACATAGGTTACAAAGAGGTTGATTCATGTGCAGAATGCATCAAGGAAGACTACAGTTTTGCCAGAAATATTCCAGAGGAAATCTGTCTTGCCAACTTGCCATAAGAAAGCTATTTGGTCCTGGGTTAAGCCAGAAGGTGTAAATAAAAAGTTCATCTTCTAGTCTCTCATGTCAAAATCCTCAGATGTTCTTTTTAAGTAGGATGAGTAGGGAGAAAAGGGAGCCACATTTAAGACAACTATATGGTTTCACAATGGCTCAAAGATGAGGTGAAGGATTTGTAGAGTCAGGACTGCAGTGTCCTAGCCAAACAGCTAACTAAAATTTGTCTCTGATCTCTTCAGATTCCTTTCTGGGACTCTCCCACACGGTGGGTGAAATGCCCTTTCTCCACCCTTCCTCTGCCCACTCACAGGAGCCAAACACCAGCCACAGTTCCCGGTCCTCCAGTTTCTTGTTCTCCCCCTACCACGTCCTCTGGGAGGCTGCATGAAGAGTACAAGCCAAGGCCACACTAAACAGCAAGGTCCTACAAGGCCTGCAAGCTCAGTCCTCCAAGGGAGTGTCTCCACCTTAAAAGAGGGGCTGATTTATCCAAATGTCTCTAAATGGTAGAATAATTGCTAGATAAAAAAAAGAGAAATCTGCACGGATATATTACAAACTCATCATGGTGGTTTATTTATTACTTATGCTATTTAAAAGTGTTTTTAAAAGAATTGCTAGAGATTTCCTGGCCAGGGGTGAGGTGATTTCTCTGCTAACTCTGTCTTCTCAGGACTCTTTTTTTTTTTTTTTAAGATTTTATTTATTTATCTGACAGAGATCACAAGTAAGCAGAGAGGCAGGCAGAGAGGGGGAAGCAGGCTCCCTGCTGAGCAGAGAGCACGATGCGGAGCTCCATTCCCAGGACCTTGGGATCATGACCTGAGCCGAAGGCAGACGCTTAACCCACTGAGCCACCCAGGCGCCCCAGGACTCTTTGTAACTTCAACCACTCCACGAGAAGATCCAGCTACAACTTAGTAGGAAAAGCCTACCTGTAGCCATAATAGCTGCAGCCACCAAACTCACAATGTTAATGAACTTTAGAACAGGAGCCAGAAGTACAGTAGGTAACGGGGACCAAAATCAAGGTCAGTCCCATGCCTCTCCAGCTCTAAGAAGCAGCATTCATGGCCCTTCATGATCCAAGTTCAAAGCCTTTAAGAGACAGGCAGTGGGGCCGAGGACGCTTCTTATAGAGGATGGACCTTTCAACTTTACCTAAAGAGCTTTCATTTCCTCCAAATGGTGCCTGGATAAATTTGGGGTTATCTTCAAAAGGAATCCTACGGGTAAATTCTGAGTGTAGCAGTTTAAAATGACGACCAAAATCATTCTTATAACTTATCGGAGACTCACGGTTATCAGGGCGTGTCCTAGTCTTCACCCTCAAAGAGACTGAACGACAGAGAGACATGCCCATACATGCCCTCTAAAGACCTGCAATCCATTTAGACTTTAAAACAAAACAAAAAAAAACACAAAAAGAAACACACACTAAAACCTGAAAGGGTTTTTTTGGTGTGGAAAGACAGACCCAAGTATGTTTTCTTGTCTTTTTATGCTTTAACAGTATAGGGAATAAACCTTAAGCACAACCTATTAAAATTTAAAAGGCAAGGGGTTAATTCTGGGAAGACCAGCATACAAGGAAAGCAACTGTTCGAGCTGAAGTATCTCAAAACAAAAAGGACTATACCATGTGGAAGGTCTGGTTTCCAGATTTGTGTTTCTAAAGACTACAGTGCTAAAAGAAACAAAAGGCCCAAACTTACACAAACCCCACATGCTCGCAGACTGGCAATTCTAATTCCCAGGCACGCTGACTCACCAGGGTTTGCTGCTCAGCTCCTGCTGGGGAGGGAGGCCCAGGTACCTGGCAGGGTAAGAGGATTTCCCCGCCTCTGTCTGACCCACCTACCCCAGGCCACTTACCTCCACCCCCACAGGACAGATGCTTCATTGTACCAGCTTCCTTCAAATCCTGGCGCCAAGGCCTTCAGGTAGGGACAGAACAGATGGGCCTCCCAAAGAGGCCCTAATCCCATTTACCCAAACAGCCCTCCACATAAAAGCATCTCTGATGACCTGACACAGCAGAACCTGAAGGCTTTTAACATGCCCAGCAGATGAGAAAAAGGAGGGGAAAATCAATTTGAACAGATGATCAATCAGCAAGTACCAGGAGGTCAGATCTCTTTCTTCCATTCTGGTCCCTATCTGTGAAAGGCCCCCACGCTGGGTGAGTGTTTGAGGCAAGTGATGATCTCAAGCCAGAAGAAAATATTTTCAGATCTGGTGGTGACTACAGCCCCCTGATTATTCAATGGCCTCCCTTTTGTGCCTATCTCTTTCCCCAGGAAAACAGCTGTGCCCCCAGCGCCTTCCCCAGGCTCAGTCTCACACAAGCCCAGTGTCCCAAGCTGACAGCACTTCTAGTGTTTTAAAGCTGAAAGTCCCCCTGGGCTTGATAGCTGATGGCTAACAGCTAATAATGGGAGTTATCAATTATTGAATACTTGATATGTCTGGCACTATGCTAATAAGCATTTTATGGACTTAAAACTCATATATCCTCACCACAACCCCATTTAAAGACAGGGAAACTGAGGCACAAAGTAACTCATCCAACATCACACAATGTCTGTCTTGAGAAACACACCTTTAGCACTAGGCCAGACTGCCGAGTCCAGCTCCCATCAGAGAACCGAGGGAAAGCCCACCAACACATGGGTCCTGAGCTCTGAAGTCACCACAGCGATCCCAGAAGAGCAAGTTTTACCACCAGCCACTGGAAAGAGAACACACTGTTCATGCCCGCTGTTCAGGGAGGGCGTCCTACCCACTGCCCTCTCCCAGAGAGCCCTGCCACCGAGATTCAGGCAGTCATGATGCCCTTGGACTCAGCCTCGCCAAAGATGCCCTCAAGCAGTGCTGTTTCGGTCCATCGGCATGGTTAAAAGCTGCTATTCGGAAATCAAAGCTCAACTCTGCCAGTGATTATGTCTGACCCTAATCAAAACCTGTATCGGCTCAACCCACAAAATGCTATCTGCCTCACAGAGCTGTTGAAAGGATTCCATCAGTAGGGGCACCTAGGTGGCCCAGTCCTTAAGCATCTGCCTTCAGCTCGGGTCCTGGGATCAAGACCCACGTCGGGCTCCCTGCTTCATGGGAAGCCTGTTCTCCCTCTCCCACTCCCCCTGCTTGTGTTCCCTTTCTCACCGTCTCTCTGTCAAAAAACAAAATCTTTAAAAAAAAAAAAAAAAATTCCATCAGGAAATGCAGATAAAGGGTACTTGCCACACAGTGCCCCCTGGCCCCCACCAACCATGGAGGACAGCCATCGGTCATTATTATTACCAGCCAAGCTCTTGAACTACAACACTGACCTTGCTCAAATGCACACTGCCCAAAAGCAAGCAGGCTCCAGTTCTCCGTAGGGTAAGACTTCCTTGTGATTGATACAGAGTAAAATCAAGCTGGGTATTTGCTTTGTTCTAGGGACACCTTGAACCCAGTAGTTACCCCCATCCCTAACCTGGGGCAAGCTTCCAGCTAGTAGTTCCAAACTCCTTTCCCTTTTCTACTTGGTCCTAGCTCTGTAGATTTGAAAAAGAGAATGTCTAGCTTAAAAATCATTTATACTACCTTAATGGAACTGCCTTTCCAGCTGGTCATCTCAGCTGCCTCTCTGAAGCGGACAGCCTCAGCACCACCTGGGCGCCCCAAAGCCAAATATTATCAGCAAGAGAGCACCGTGATTAAGGAATACCACTCTGTATTTAGTAGTGCATTATAACCACTACACCCAAATGCTCCAAGCAACAGAAAAGAAATGGAGGCACAGCAAGGTCAAGGAGCTATCCAGGAAGGGAGAAAACAGGGGCAGAGTAATTAAGAGGAGGAGCTCTTGGAGCAGACAAACCTGGACGAGAATCGGTGATGCCACCAACATGTGACTGTCAGCGTTCACTTTAAAACAGGGCAGGTGGACCTCAAGATAACGTAAATGAGATAATCCACTGAGATGCTCTGCCCACAGAAAGGACTCACTAAGTGTTAACCTTTATCATAGTTGCTGCTGTTACTGCCAAGTCGGTGACAGACTCAAGCCTCTGTGCTCCTAGAACAGTGCTCTTTCCATTGGCCAGGGCAGCTTTTGGGGGTTGGAGGGTGGGGGGCAGCCCCAGTATGCAGGACTCCCCAAGGCAGCTCCTTGTCTCCCTGTCCTCACAAGGACTCTGCTCTCCTGCTTCTGCTAAGGGGCATAAAAGAGTTCAATGGAGTCAGGGGCAGGGAGAAAGGAAAGGCAGGAAGAAGAATAAAGAAAACACACATACACACACCCTGGGAAACCTATTTCTAGGCACAATTAGAGGGTTCTGGGGTTTACCTGAAAGATCGATGCCAGTAACTCTGCTCAGTTTATGCTAGATCAGGATCAGCCTCCAGCTTTTCTCCTTCAATCTCAGCTCCAAATGCTTCTGTCCCCCTCCCTCTCTGCACATCAGCCCCAGCCCCACAGCACCCCGCACCGTGCTGTGCCAGCCCTGGCTGCTACTCTTGGGGATGGGCTTGGCTGTCTGCCTGGCCCCAGGCCTGGAGCTGGCACGGCCGGGCCTGGGGCAATCCCGGAGGCCGTGGTCCCTGTGGATGCTCTGGCTCCAAAGAAGGATCTGGAGCTGATCTATCTCGTGGGC